TATCACAACACAGATTGGACTCATAGTGATCCTCCTGTTTTCAGCCTCCCAAGTGCTAGAATTACAGGTCACCCAGTCTCAATTGCTGTCTCAATGCGCCCTGGGGGCGGGGCTGGCATGGCATGCCAGGGATCAAACCTGCATTTGCCTAAGTATGCACTTTAGTCCGCTTTGCTATCTGCCCGGCCCTCTAGAGACTTTTTTCAAACATCTAGTCATACTTACCTATCCATTCCTGTAGTTCAGTGGCTTTAAATATTAATATGTTAAGGCGACTCAATTTTATATTATCACATTGATCCTTTACTCTGATTTCTAGACTTACCTAGTTTCTTTCTCAATATTTTCACTTGGGTGTCTAATACGTATACAGAGTCAGTACATTTCAAACAGAATTCTCAATTTGCCTTGGTAAACTTTCTCTCTATTTTAGTAAAGGCCAAAATCATTCATCTGTCCCAAAGTTCAAGTACAAAGCCTTAATTTACCTTTGGTTTAGTTTTATTTTTTCTCACAGCCTAAATATACTTCACCAGTAAGTGTAGTTGATCCTTTAAAATATAATCAGAATCTGAAAGGACTGAAAAAGAGAGACATCCTTGTCACCATGAACACAACTGTACCCAGATCTTCCTTAATATTGTTTTTCACGAAGAAAAAGCAGTATTTTTTAGAGAAATGAGTGATTCCAGGGCCGGGGCAGGGTACATATTAAATAATTTCAAAATACTTTGTTATACTGGAGTGTGAAAAAGATGTTGGGGATATGTTATGAGTATAGAAGAGCTAGGTTGAAGAGTTCCAGCTTGCAAATCTGGTACTATTTGAACACCAGAATAAATAAGTTTAATAATTAATTTCAACATAGAAATTCTTTTTTTCCCAAAATTTTATTGATAAACAGATAGCAATGAGACAGTTTCAAATCAAATCGGAAGTACAGATTCAACAAATAACACACTGCATATATTCTTCTTAGTGGTTAATTGCTGTACAAGATAGAAATTCTTGAGTCCATACTGGTAGTAGAGAGACAGATAGATAAATAAGTGACTTGGGGAGGAGATAGGGCTCATAGAATAGAATGCTGAGGCCATCTGGGAAAGGTGGGACAAATGTGACACAAAAACATCAGCTTGCAATCATTATAGGAAAGATCTGATTAGGCAAGACTCCTTAACAAACTTTAAATTGAAGGGGAAATTTTTTTATTATAAATAGACCATTTCTGTGATCTGAAAGTGTCTTATAGTGGTAAGGGAAAAAAAATGGGACAATACAGAGGAGAAATTGGATACTTCCTTGGCCAGGTGATTTAAGTTAGCAGCACCAGTGTGGGAGAGGTGGACATCCTATGCCTCTGAATGTGACAGCCTGAGAAAATCATAACATTACCAGTATACTACTGAGAAAGCAGAATCTGAAACTAATGGAGCAAATGTCAGTCAAAACCCAAATTAGGGACACACTCATTTTCTTTTTTCTTTTCTTCCTTTTTTTTGTGCACAGTCTCACTACAGCTCGAACTTGAAGTGATCCTCTTGTTTTCTGCCTCCCTAGTGCTGGGATTACAGGCGTGCAGCACCATGCCTGGATTCCCTCAGGCTCAGTGTGCCCTGGGGGGTGGGGCCAGCACAGCCTGTGGTGTCAGGGGTCAAACCCTGGCCCTTAGGCATACACTTACTCCGCTAAGCTATTTCACTGGCCCTTCTCATTTTCAAATGGAAGGGGGATATTAGTCTTCAAAGTGTCAGTGTCATAAGTGTTCTTGAAATGTTCCAGATTAAAGGTACCTGAGGAGATTGACAGCTAAATGCAATATCTGATCCTAAACTGGATCCTGAAGTGGAAGGATAGAATGCTATGACATTATTAGATCGATTGACAAAATTGGAATACAAACATGGATTAGATAAAAATGTTCTCTTGTGTTAAATTTACTGAGGTTAATAACTGTACTGTTATTATCTGAGAGACTGTTATATTTTTAGAAATACCTTAAGGATGTAGTAGAAAAGAATCATGATGTATGTAACTTACTCTAAAATGATTCAGAAATTTTGTGTATGAGCTCCAGTGACACAAGATGGCAGCTACCACGGGGTCGGGAGTAAAAGCCCCTCGCAATTTCCAACTGTTGGAAGAACTCGAAGGGCAGAAAGGAGTAGGAGACGATGGCACAGTTAGCTGGGGCCTAGAAGATGATGAAGACATGACACTTCCAAGATGGACAGGGATGGTAATTGGGCCTCCAAGAACAATTTATGAAAACTGAATATACAGCCTTAAAATAGAATGTGGACCTAAATACCCAGAAGCACCCCCCTTTGTAAGATTTGTAACAAAAATTAATATGAATGGAGTTAATAGTTCTAATGGAGTGGTGGACCCAAGAGCCATATCAGTGCTAGCAAAATGGCAGAATTCATATAGCATCAAAGTTGTTCTGCAAGAGCTTCAGCGTTTAATGATGTCTAAAGAAAATATGAAACTTCCTCAGCTGTCTGAAGGACAGTGTTACAGCAATTAATCAAAAACCCTACAGGCCCTCCCCACCAGCCTGCACCCCAATTCGATTTAAACAGTCTTCATTTTCCACAGTAGTAAATTTTCTAGTTACATCTTGTAGACCTCAAAGTACTGGAAAGAAAGCTCCCATTCAAGGCAGTCTATCTTAAGATACTGTAAATGATACTAATTTTTTGTCCATTTGAATATATAAGTTGTGCTATAACAAATCATCCTGTCAGGTGTAACCACTGTCCACACAGTTGAACTTCTGGGATCAAGAAAGTATATTTAAATTGAACCCCATCTGGACTGATGGGGTGCATCTAACTTAACTGTGAAAAGACACGTCACACACCTTGCTGCTGATTTCACAGCCCAGGAGCTGCCCCCCCCCCCCCCCCCCCCGAGCCCTGGCCTGGGCTGGTTGAGGCCATGTGAAGGCTTCAGGTTGCCGCCTGTGGGACTACTGTTGGATGTGGGGGTGCTTTGCCTGCACCCTGGCTTCTTTTTTAAATCTTAAATGACACCCCCTTCCAAGCCATCAACCTGTCCCACTCTCCTCCACTCCCATCCTTGGCTGAAGCCCAACCTCCTCTGAAATTGGCCTTCTGTGAGGAATTCAGGGCTTTCCCCATCTCTCCCCCACCTTGATTGAGGGGTGCTGCTTTTCCTCTTCCTCCTCCCCTTTGTCACACTGTCACCCCCAGCACTCTCCATGCCCCTTTGTTCCTCTGGCCAGAAGCCATCAGGTAAGTTTGGAAAGAGTCTCTGACCTCCCTCCTTTAGCTTTGGAACCAGTCATTCATTCTCCACCAGCCTGGGAAATGCGTACTGGGCCCTGGGCAGCCGCCTGCTGCCACCATCAGCTGATGTCAGCTCAGGTATGATGAGGTGAACAGAGCAGCTGCTGGAGTCACGCAGACCTGCCAGCGCCCAGGTCCCTGGTGGGCAGACCAAGCGAAGTCACATGAAGATACTCGTAAGCACGCGCGGTCTGTCTGGATTGTTTCCACTTCCCCACCCACCTCACTTTGGAGCTAGAGAAGTTTACACAGGCTTTTGGGCCTTCGTTTGGGCACCCTTGCCTCCATTTGGGTCCGGTGTGCAGTCTGAGAACTGGAACAGAAGAACCCAGCCAGCGTGGACTTTGGCTTTGGTGCTGCTGTTTCTCATGCTCGGGGGGCGGGGGGGGGGGGGGGGGG